TTTTTTTTTTTTTTGGCCACAGTTATTTATGCTTGTACCTAAATCTTTGGGCACATTCATGACCATTTCCTTAGGCTAAATTACAAGGTAGGCAATTGCTGGGTCATTGGGTATGCATGTTTTCAGTTTTGATATGTACTACCAAATTGCTTTCCAGAAGGTTCTTTTTAAACACCAATATTGAATTTAGCCAACAATGCAAGGAGCAGGTGCCTCACCAATTTGCCAGCACTGGGTTGGATATGTTTTCTGGTTTGTTGCATTAACTTATCAGAACAGCTTTTTCAAAAACAGAGCATGAAATAGAGTTTTGCTTTACAATAAGGTATTGCCATTGATATATATTTGCAAGGAAATTTCTAAAAGTTGCATGAGTAAGATTTTTCCATACTTTTAGGTGGTATAAAAGTGAGTAATTCCACAGATTTGTAGTCAGAGTTTCCTGCTTGGACCATTATGCTTAGTATCAGTGAGCAGGATTGTGTCACGTATGAACTAATGTCCAGGGAAAAGGCATTTTGTAGATATGTGAAAGCGAGAAGCACAGAATGAACCTTCTCTGTCTAACGAGTCTCTTTTCTTTCAAAACAGGAAAGATGCAAAGAACAGTGATGTGTCCTTTTCTCAAATTAAGTAAGTCTCTAGAGTTGTGAGCTTTAAGACATTTAATCCCCCAGTCTGTTCAGTGACTATCTAGAGAACATTAGATGGAACTTGCTGTCAGTTTTACTGATTGACACATTTGGCCATGATCATCTGGACATTCTTGCTAGCTCTCTTGTCTTTTTTTTTGGCAAGGAATCGATGTTTTATTACTCTCCTGAAGCTAGCTTCCTTGCCATGTTCTACTATTCTACCAATTAATATATATTTTATGATTTTTTTTTCTTAAATGAATGAGTTATCAAGATCTATGGGAAGAGAAAAACTTACAGAAAGTCACAAAGGCTGTCAGTTACAGAACAGTCAGATTTCCTGATTTACGTTTCACCGTTATGCTGACCCCACCCCTGCCCCCCAAATTATACTCTGGTTTTAGTTCTTTTGGGAAGGTGTTTATTGTCATCTCGTATGAATGAGTCTTTCTAATTCCTTATTTTCTTCTTTCCCTTTCTATGGTAAAGACCTAAAAAGTAAGTAACCTCTTTACTTTTTTTTTATAACATCTGTTTTTCTATTTGGAGTATGAACTTCACAGAATGTAAAAAATCTTAATAAGTTGTTTTCTTTTCTTAGATCTAAGTTGATCAGAGTAGAGAATTTTGAGGCCTACTTTAAGAAACAGCAAGCTGACTCCAACTGTGGGTTCGCAGAAGAATATGAAGTATGTGTTTGTAGATATTGTGTTTTCAGTTGCTTTACATTTTTCCTGAAATTTGGAGAACTGTCCTTTTTTGTCTTACACTGGAGCTTTGGGTAAGAGGCTACCCTCTTAAGAGAGGGGAGATTTTGCCTGTCCCCAGGGGGGTCCCACTGTTGACCATGAGTGCTCAGATGTCCCAATAGTGGATTACATATTTAATCTTGTTGACACCTAAAGATTATCCAGAGAGATATAGAAACTGGGAATTCAAGTAGTGGACTATTCACTAGAATTATTAGGAAATTTAT